AATAGATCATTTGATTGTTAAATAATGAAAATCAGTGGATGGAGCCAGTTGCGCGGGGTTTTTGGTCTTCTGATACGGTAACAGTGGCAGTCAATCGCAGTACTAAGAAGCCACTTACATGCGTGTTATTCACCTTAACGACAGTTAGTAATTCAAATGAAAACACTTTCATCGTCTTTTCAAAGTGTTGACTTTTTTAACGTTTCTGAAGAAAATTGCCTATTCGTAATTTTGGCCAGGGAAAAGATGTTTGATAGCGGTATTAGCAGTTGTATGCATGCAGTATTAGGGAAGAGGGCACATGGTTCCTTGGATATTCACCATGTCCCAATGCCTAATCGGTTGAAATTTGAAAAAGACAAGAATTCAGGATGCATACAAATTAGAAACAGTACGTCAGCTCTTATGATACGTAATGCAATAAGGAATAATTTGACAATGTCGATACGATTTAATAATAATATATTTTTTTGAAAGAAAAAATTAAAAATTGTGTCGTGCCGGATGGGGCCACCCACTGAGCCGTGCCCTGCTTCCCATCTCGTGGGGCCGTACCGCCCAAGGTGTCTCAGGGTACAAACAATATCATTGCAGTGCCTCTGACCCAGATGTCCTGGTTTCGAGCCCCGACGGTGGCATAATTTTAGTCACTAGCTACATAGCAACGTCGAATTCAGCTAGCAGCTGGCTGCACGGACCGCAGGTGGACCGGCCGGCTTTACGGCAACGAGCCACGGACCGCGCGATCTTTCCTTCCTCTTCCTTATTCTTTTCTTACCCCTTACTTACACTTACACTTACGCTTACTTACACTTATACGCACACTTACACTTACGTGCACTACATTAGCACTTACGTTGAGAGCCTGGAGCTTGCCGCGGATGGGGCAGAGCTCTGATGGTGGGAGACACCTGGTTGTAGAACACTCCGCATCGGTGTGGAATATCGCCATCCAGCGGGGAATGATCACAGCTAGCCTCTGCGATAAAAATGCGCAACATTTACGGGGCTAATGAACTTAGGCCCGGAGCTGACGCCCGGAAGCGCTAATCGATCTCGCGGCCTCGGACAAGACTCCACTTTCGCCGGGCTCATAGTGGGCGCGCGCTACGAGTGGCAGGTAGGGGCAGGGGGGTTCTTCCCACACGGTTGCCGGATTAGCAGCAACAATTAAATCCATGCATAACATAGAGATATGAAACGCAAATTCACATTTAAAAACGGTCTACAATGTGATGTTGGTATTGTCACGTCGTAGGAAAAGATCGGCAAAAAACTAATTGAAATTGGAACGAGGAATTTAAACTAAAAGTTTAATGAAATGTCAAAAATGACAAGGAAGCCCCAATCATTGGCGTATGAGTATTAAATATACCCGGAAATGAGACATAGTTTTTATTAATCTCGGCTTAGAGGTGAATATGGCTATGTGACTATCTTGCCATATAAGTAACGTGAACGGTAAATGTTCGTTGTTAATGAATTGTTCCAAAATAAGTCAACTGTGTGAAACAGACGCAAGGGCAAATCCAGAAACTATTCCAGGGGAAGGGCAATTCCAGTTCGAATTCCCTCTTCCCCTGCAATCGTCTCTTGACAGCCGCTTTCGCAACCCACTGCCTTCCACTACTCCACCGGCCGCGCCCTCGCTCCAGGAGCCCAGTGGCGTTTCCTGCCCTTTCGCAGTGCTCGCCTCCGGTGCGGCACATCTCCACAGGGCAATCGCCACCGCCCCGCGTCGGTCTCCGCAGCCCTGCCCCCGCCGCCACTCTACCACCCCCGCACCGCGCCGCCCGCCCCCGCTGCCCTCCCCCGCTTTCCCGGGGCCCCGCCCGCTTACCCGCCCGCTACCCGCCCGCTACCCGCCCGCTACCCGCCCGCTACCCGCCGCTACCCGCCCGCTAACCGCCGCTACCCGCCGTCCGCCCTACCCGCCGCTCCGCCGCCCCTACCGCCGCCCCCTACCGCCCCCCTACCGCCGCCCCCCTCGCTGCCGCCCCGCGTTTGCCACCCGCCGCCTCCAGCGCGACCGACCCTTCCCACGCCCCGCCACCCGTTTTGCCCCACCCCCAACCCAAGCTGCCGCCCTGCGGTCTCTCCCCTCGCTCGCCTTCCCCCGCATCTGACCCGCCACCGCCAACACCCACGCCGCCCCTTCTGTCCCCGCCGTCCTCGCCGTCCCCACTGCCTCCCGCCACCCCGGCAGCCCCGCCGCTGCTAGCCGCGCCACCATCTCCGTCTCTGCCTCCGTCATCTCCGCCTCTGCCGCCGCCATCTCCGCCTCTGCCGCCGCCATCTCCGCCTCTGCCGCCGCGACTTCCGTTCCCGGGCCGGGCTTTCTCTCCCGGCGCAGCCTGCTCCCTCGCCCAGCACTACGCTTCCTCCGCGCCGCTGTTTCCCTCGCCGGTCGTTAGCAGCTGGAGGAGGACGCGGAGGCGGGCGCCAGTCTTGGGGGCCTTTCTTACACTAACCGAGTGGCCTGCTCCCCACTCTTTCTCCTTTTCGTTTCGTTCTCGTCATATTTTTCACCTTTCTTTGTCCCCCATTTGATTTCTTTTTTCTAATTTGACCCTCCTATTTGTGCAATGCATACATTTTTCCGCTTCTGTCATATTTATTACGTATTATTTATGAACAGGTAATAGTTTTTCGTGCAACATGTTTTCATATCAACATGTATTCTTAACGGCATTATAAAAAAATCATTAAAATATCTTTTACGCAACGTTTCATTTTTTCTCGTCCGTGCCTCTAGGTGGGATATCAGATCACACAGATTTCACGAGCTTATTAGCAATATTTCTTATTGTGTGAAGTTATGGGCAGCGATCGGAGCGGAACAGTTCCTTCCGTGATCTCAAGAACGCGGAAACGAGATTAGGTTACGTGAAGGCTTCTCTAAAAGTCTGGCTAAAGGTGAATCGCGCGAAAGGCTGAGAGAGATCGATATTATATGCGCCGCTCTCATTTCTATAGACGCGAACGAAGTGGAGAGTATTTTTTCGGTCGCACTACTATTAAATTGGTAGCTGGTTTATTGATGAAATTAGTGTACATTTAAGACGAATATTTTTTTATCTAATGTTGTCAACGCTTGATGCTATAATTTATTCATAATTCAAATCTGTTGATAAATAAGAGGAGGTAGGTAGATACTTGGCTCCAGGGGCAGATCCAGCTGATCTTCTTTGGGGGGGGGGCATCGTTTATTTGTGTTAAATAATAAACATATTTTTTATTAAATAGTATATTATTTTTGTACCGTAATTATGATACTAAAATATTGTTTAAATAATTACAAAATTTGAACATGATTTTTTAAAATCAATTTTGCGAAATTTAGGAAGATAAATGAAAACGTTTGGCCTAGGGGAAGATGGCCCCCTTGCCCCCCCCTCCTTGCTTGAGTGTTTTCGTCAAAAACAGTATGTGACGTATGGGCAAAAATGTATTTTTCATGAAGTATATTTTACGCTCATTTTTTATCCCCCGTATCCCCCGTATCTCACCGAAAGATGACATCCCTTTTACTTGAAGTAGCCTAAGACTCCTTGCTTTCCGAATCTTGGCGGAAATCGTGATTCCAACTGTTATATTTCATAATAAAATAGAACGCGACTGCCTCGAGCAGTAAGCTCATGGCACAGAACCTCTGGCCGCCGCTAATGCTGTACGCGGATTCTCTAGACAGGGGGGGGGGGCTCATTCAACATCGGATTTCTCATTCCTTAGTGGGTTAGCGTGGCCACCGATTGAATAATTAGTGATTCAATGCCTGTCAAAACGATCATACTATTTTACAAAACCATACTAGGAAATAATTGTTCATATCTTACGTATTTATTTTAATTAGAACCACACGTCCAAAAACATATTTGGGTATCTTACTTTATACAACGGAATCGACGTAATCTTGAAATTGTGATTATTTCCATACATGATGCAATTAAAAAGAATGCATTAAGGAATTGTTATCAATTTACGCAAAAATTCCATACTTCTTATTTTAAAACCTGTAACTTACCCTTTATTATTAGAAATATAAAAGTAGTTTGCCTAGCAACCGGTATGTAATCATAAGTTTTCCAAACCATACACATTCATTGGAGAAAGCGTACCATTGCTCGTGATCGAACGTTTTCACTACCTCGGAGTAGGGAATATGAACAAAAGCAGTGAACTGTAATAAATTTACATAATTTTACATTTTACATAATTTTACATTTTACATAATTGCTTTAAGTGTGGGTGTGTTGTAATACGTGTGTAATGGAAGAGCGAGGGTTTGGGGCGTTGGTCGTCGGTCTGTTCTAGCACAATAGCTCCTGACGAGGCCAAGGCTCACCAGCGGCGACCCGGCCTTAGGCCATAGGCTAAGGAGCTACACTACAGTACTGTCCCTTTAATAGTAATTGACAAGTCAAGAAAGTGGAAGTTTCCATGAGTGGACGGGAGAGTTCCCAGACGAGGCCAATAGGCCGAGTCTAGGAAGCCCGTCGTGTCGAGGAAAGTCACTTTTGCTACGTCATGTCAAAGATTTACTTCGATCCCTCAATTGTATGTCGATTTGTCCGTATGATATATCAATTTTAGATATACCACGAGACCATACTAAATATTTTTTCGTTGAGGGGTTGGTTCGTATTCTATTTTCTAATTGTTGTAGTTTCAATATTATTAGGGAACTACTTACTATTACTTTCGGTACGTTAACCTATTACTTAGTATAACTTATTATTACTTTCGGTACGTTACCCGGGCGATGAAAAAAAAGGTGAATTTTCAAGTCCAAATACTGTGTAAGTACGCTCCACTCTCTTGGCTGACGTGAATACATAGTGTTTTACTGCTTTCACGGGGTTTATAAAACAACGCCACGGACGGCGCCAACACGCGTAGCCCCCAGCTAGGTCACGCGAGGTGGGGCCGTAATGCCCTCGTGAGGGCCGAAAATTCCATCCATCAATTAGTGACATGTTAATATTTTGTGAGATGTTAACAAATTAAGTATTACAAAATTGTCTTTATTAATAAAAGCGCCAGCGCAAATATGTACCTTACATGCCAGTTAAATTTCCTAATGCAAACACAGTATTAGAGTTATGTTATAGTGCATTCACTGTCACATAGCAGCAATGGTTCACCTTCACAAGTAGATGTTTATTACTCATTTTTTGCTACACTTCCACTCACCATTTTAGTAAGTCCTGGTGAGGATTTACCGTCCCAATAATCCAGTTTGACTGAAACTTGTATATCACTCGCATCTCACAATCTGTGAGTAATATGTTGCAGACCATTCAACATTCAGTAATTAATTCTTTCACGATCATTCACAAAAAAATTTATCATCTAGTCATAAATATAGTTATTTTTAGTTAATACTTTAAAAAATACTGACAAATTATACGACTTGAAAATAAAAGGAACATTTGTATATCTCGCAAAACGTAGGTTTCAAAGCCTTCAGCACAATGCTTAGAAACCATATAATTTTAAAACCTATAAAAGGCGAGTCAAAAATCGTTGGTATATGTGCTCCTGTTTTCAAGCTTGCGAGGAGCCACCTTCACCAACGCTAGGGTTTTCTATAGTTCGATATTCTCCCGGCTGCTCCCTTTGTCTCCACAAGTTTCCACCTGCAAAATGAAACATTTGTCAAATATAAATAACTTTCGAATGGTATACACACGTTTTTCATAGATGCAAGAAAAAGATTCCAAGAAACGAAAATGATAAAAATGAAATTAGTGTTTGCTGCCCACGAGGTCTTTTAATTTATCCACGCTGGACCCGTGAGAACATCCCACATACTATAAATATAGTCGACTCCAGTTATAATGAAATCGGAGGTAGTGAACCCTCTGTTATAGTGAACTGAAGTCACTGGTCCCATTTCATTTGCATTACAAATAAATATAAGAAGATTCGGTTATAGTGAACCTGAACCTCGGCTAAAGTGAACGTAGGAAATGCAGTCCTGGAAATTAATTCCCTCATGGAAAAGAATAAGTCGTCTCAGTGCCACAAATTCCCACACTAGTCAGCTTGACAAAAAAATCGTGGGCCATAGGTCATAATCTAAGAAGTCTCCTCTGCGATGAAGGTAGCGGACCTGGAATGGGGACCTTACAGATGACCGCATGACCACTCAGTTTCACTGCGTAAATCAACGTCGTGTCCTGCGTGGGCTGCAACTGACGGCGGCGACGCGTGATTGCTTGCTTCAGTTTCAAGTCTAGTAGTGTTACTTGAGATTCCGTGGGACAAAGTGCATTGAGATGTACGGAGGTGACAGGAAGCGCGCTGCTGCCACAGCCCCACAACCCAGCGACAACCCTCGCCACGCGCCAATGGGCGATCAGTTTAAATAGCCGCTTGCTTCGTCCCGCTACCAAAAGGGTCTCGTGTGTTATTGAGTAAAAGGACCTCCGGTGGGTGCGACAGTGTTTCAACAGTGGAAGAGGCATTGAAAGGTGTCAAGACTGCCTAACGATATTGAGAGACGGTGGGCAATGCAGAATCAAGTATGAAGAGAGCACTGGAGCTAGGATATAGAAAAATTACTAATGAAAATTGTACGAATAAAACAATTGAAAATATTTGATTTTTAAGGTCAAATAAAGATATTAAAATTTTCAGTTCGTGCTGTTAATGTATTTTACTGATTTGTATATTAATAAAATTAATAATTGTGGAGAAATTCAATTTAATTTTGACATCATCGAATATAGAAAACCTCTGATATAGTGATCCAGAAATGTTAGTTCCCTGAAGTCCACTATAACTGGAGTTGACTGTTCTCGTCTTAAAAGTGATTTTTTTTACGTGAAGCTACAATTGTATTTCATAGCTTCTTATAGATTTTGTAAGTTTGAACATCCTCTAAACTATGCCTTACACGCGGTGTCCAGCCTTACTAAACATTCCAATCCTGATATGCTTTGAGATTAAATTTTAATTCATTATTTAAAAATATATTTATTTCTCTATCCCTTCTATTTAACTACATATATTTTGACTTACTCTCGTATCTGTCCACCTATTCTATGCATTTGCAGTCCTCATAAGAGCTATATTCCCAAAATGTAAAAGAAAATTCAAAAACGTCTCAATTAGAAGAGCTATACAACAAAGTCCCCAATTTCCACCGCTGTTTCCCCGTCTGACTTTCAGCTGATTCCGCTTGACCTCCACCTGACCCCCACCTGACCTCCACCTGACCGCCCCCTGACCGCCCCCTGACCGCCACCTGACCGCCACCTGACCCCCACCTGACCCCCACCTGACCCCGCAAAACTCGCTTTTCATCGGGTCACATGATTTTGAAGGTTTACAAAGCTTCGTTTGTGAATGATGCATGATTACACGACAGTTTTTGAAAATTAAACGCATTTCAGAACGCGTACTATAAAAAACGCGATGGTTTTTAAAATGTCACATTACTTACTTTCTAATACTAAAGGACACGAAAACTATGAAAATTATTGTAAAATATTGAAATATAATATAGTAGAGAAGATTTTATTCCAATAATATTTGATTAAAAGAATGCTTAAAATATGTCAGTTACTTACCAAATATTGACTTCTCAATCAGTATTATTGGCGATTCGAAGAGAAGAACCATAGGGATTGTCCACGCCAACGTCATTAGCAGTACTCCAAAAAAGTAGGGAATCTGGTGGAAGAACACGTTTGTGAAACGAAAGTTTTTACAAGTGTTTAATACCAATCGTATTTTACCTTTTCCAAATAACTGCTATTATAATGCATTTAAGGACACACGAGTGTTTAGTAAACTAGATAATTTGATAACAAAAAATACATTAAAATGTTTGTGTCTAAAAACCAATCTGATACTTACAATTGTTACATCAGCTAAGTACATTGGCGACTGCACTACTCCGCTAAATAGCGTCAATATGGGAATGTGCATTAGATATAATCCATAGGATAAACGAGCCAACGGCTGAAAGAAGTTCCAGGACAGTATTTTGTTCACAATTCCTGCAGAGAAACACGTTAGAATGATTAACACCACCCATTCTGATAATCCCATGATTCAATTTGTCTTCCACGTGTTTAGATGTCTTAATACTGAGAATTGAAAGATCTGTATTTTTACAAAATACAAAGAATTGATCAAACTAGAGTTTGAGGTTTGCAGAGATAGAGATGTCTTACCTGCGTGACCTTGATCGCAGGCGAAAATGATCCATCCCAAACGCAGAGACCACATATCTCGGAAGAGAGAGAGCCAGAAAGCGGCCTCCACCCGACTATACACCCAAGTCATTTGCTGAAATGGGTACGCAGCGTTCAAAGCAGTCATCATCAACGCCGTGGACATGACCCAGGCCATAGCGATGGCCCACTGCCAATAAAAGATACGCATTAAGAACACAAGAGTTTAGGAAAAGAGATAATTTGATAACAAAAACATGTATTAAAATGTTTGTGTCTAAGAACCAATCTGATACTGACAATTGTCACATCATTTTAAATTTCAAGACAATTGACATTTATTTTAGTTCTATTAATATCAGGATACTTAAAAGTAACCAGTCTAGAAACATTTACATTAATCAGATATTTTTTATTAACAATCCTATTAGTACTTAATGATTTCTAGTATTGATAAACAAGATATTTTAATCATTTTTTTATTTGGTAAGATCTTAATATTCACAATTGTTAGTGTATCATTTTATAAACGAGGATTCATTAAAAAAATTAAATATTCTTCAATAAAGTGTCCAATAAGGCCACTCGTGTCTCCAAGCGAAATCGCTTGCCTTTCATCAAAGAGGTTCGGGTTCGATTCCCGGACAATATCGTGTGAAATTTGCTCTGACAAAACGAGTGTGCCAGCTTTGAGGCTAGCTCAACCCCTACGTAACATCCTAAACCCTATCACTGGCCTAATTCCCTCCCAATTCTGGGTACTGTGTTCGGAAGGAGTTCGTGTGCGAGGCGCGTCCACGGAGATGCTACCTGGCGGACCTCATGACAACTAACTCGAGTTGTGGCTGTATATGAGTTCCACTACCCTAGCGTTACTGTTATCCCCAAACGTTAAAAACAATATTGTAGTTTCTAATGACCTTACAGTTAATGCGACCTTAACTTTTTTAAGTGACCAATAAAGTAATTGAAATGGAAAACTAAGAGACCAATTCTGACTGGTACACTTGTGACCTCTGTTCACGACAAGGCAAATCTGATTTCAAATAATTAGTTACTTTATGATAATTACTGATCGTACTGAAATTATCCACTAGAATTATCAACTGTATTAAATATACTTACTTTTAGTCAATAATTTCAAAACTACCGACATGTTTTATGGCTATTGAAAGTAAAAAGAAAATCCACACATCCTATCAAGATGTGGGTTCCAATATTTCCAGCACAATATTTAGACACCTTTGATGATTTACATCATTCCCATACTCCCAGGGAAAACGTATGTGAATGAACTGAAGCGATATCAGGATAATGTGCTTCGCACACTTTTTGACTCACCTTGGGAAATTCGGGCTTCTTCTTTCGCGCCTCGTGTAAAATGTACCCCAGCACCACTCCCATCAGCCAGGGCACGTAGCGGGTGTGAGTAGTCCAGTAGTAATACTTCATAGTATCTGTACGCTGAAGATCTCTACAAAGTGTACAAAAATAGAAAGCGCTAATAAAATAGAACTTGATGGCAGTACAAAATACAATGCGACGTAGAAAAAATTGAAACGTGAAAGCAAACTAGAAATCAATATACATTAATGAATAGCACGTGACACACAGTTTTTAACCGCAAGTACAATCCAAACAATCTGTGAATTTCAGTGATTTATTTAGGAAAGATACTGTGTTAAATAGTATTGAGTGCAAACTATTTTTAAAAAACTCTCCAGGACAATTAATCAATGTGAAAGTGAAAAGTCTCCCTCAGTAAACGCAGTCAACAGATTTGATTCTTAACCTCAAATAAACGATGACTTTCAACACGCCAAACTCAATGCTTTTCAAATTTCTCCAATTAATGTATCACAATTTCCAAAATATCCTCCTAACAAAATATGAAAATTGGAAAAAAAATATATTTATGATTTCCAGAAAATAGTTATTTCCACTTCAACAAAAATTAAAATTTTCATTTTCGAGTCGCACCTATTTCTTTCAAAACGTTTACCCATTTCTTAGTTTCAGCATTTTAAACTATTTAATTTGTGAAGCATCAAAATACTTGGGCACTAAATACATCGGAGAATGAAGCACTGGCAGTAGCAAGATATATGTTGTTATATATCTTTTTTTAAAGTATATTTACTTCTTTATTACAGCAATTGTAATAAATTACAATTCTATTCGTTCTTAGGCAAAGACTTTTTCCAGTCCATTGTTTAAGAAAGCCTTCGAAGAAGCCATTTTACACTTCACACTTAAAAACGTCTAAATTGAGTTACGTCTTGCTGTAACTTATCTGTTGTGACTTCTTTATCTACTGTGATTGTTCAAAGCTTCCATTACAAAGGTTGCCTTTTATGTTTCGGGGTTTGCAACCCTGGTGTTGCAATCTAGCAACTGACAGCTCTATCGTAAAGTTGGATGTTTTGAGATTATACGTACTGAGAACGTTTTGACATACGAGCGCTATTTGTTTTGTTTACAGTAACTTAAATGATTCATCTTGGCCCAAAAGTGGAATTAAATCGTGAACATTTTCGTGCGATTATTTTTTACAACTTTCGACGTGGATTAACTCACAAACAGTGCATGGATGAACTTAATTCAATTTTTGGCAATGAAGCCCCATCAAGGACCAGTGTTTATCGATGGTATGGTGAATTCAATCGTGCTCGTAGTTCATTCCACGACGTATTTCGCGAAGGTCGTCCAAAATCAGTTGTTGTTCCGAAAACCATTGATGCTGTGCGTGAACTGATATTCCAAGATCGTCATGTGACCTATCGTGAGATTGAGACAACCTTAGGCATTAGTGGAACCAGAATACATTCAATATTGCATGAACATTTGACTGTCAAAAAATTTGTTCGCATTGGACACAATTTGTCAATCGCTCAAAAAAAGGCCCGACGATTAGTCGAAAGAAATGCTCAAAAAATACGATCGCGATGCTTTGAAACACGTCTATGACATTGTGACAGGTGATGAATCGTGGATGTACGCGTATGAGCCCGAAAGTAAACAGCAGTCGACTGTATGGTATTACAGCAGTCGACTGTAATCTAACAAAAGTTGTTCGCGCACGAAGCACTTCCAAACAGATGGTCATCTGTTTTTTCAGAAAAAA